TCCATCGCAAATCAAGGACCCATTGTTTAAAAAATTACAATACATTTTTATTTGTAAATATGCCACTCTTATCATTTTAAACCGCATGCAGTTATAAAACATACATTGCAACAGTAACTAAGGGTGGCAGGGCTTATTTAATGGTCAATTGCACATGCACCAGTCTATTGACCTAAATCAAGAAAAGAAAGCCCCTCCCCACCATTCCCTTTCCCTCCTTTTCTCCTTCAATCGGTCCATGTTCTCTCTGCCTCTGTCTTTCTGTTTTGATTTCGTTGAACTGACCTGGCCCTGAGTGCTGTGCATGGGTGTAGTTAACAGATTACACTTTCTGATTTCTGAAGGGCAGCCTGTCGATCGTTAGGGTCAAACCAAACTCAGGAAGGAAACAGCTCCCTCCTCCTACTCACCTATCAATTCAATAACCAAATGCACTTGGCCCAATCAACCTCCCATCCCCCTTTTGTGCTTCCTCTTAACCGCACCCGCTCTCGACCTTTCATATGCTGTCTCAGATCTGTAACGTTCAATAAATCATTTTATTGATTTCAATCCGTGCATAGGAGCAGCAGTATCAGCGCCTGTCTGCATCCACACAGCTGTGTGCGTGTGTGTTTTGTGACTCATATTTGAGTAATCCTTTAAACTTCCTTTCAGTGCGTGTATGTGCATGAATGATAATTGCATTCGTGCTGCAAACCTCAACCTGTTGCCCCTTCTGCCACAGGACCAGAGTCCCAGACTTTGGGGTGATAGGTCAACCTACATATCTGCAGTCAATCCTGGAGACAATCTCCTAAGAGGAACAGAGTCAAAGAGTGAAAACCTCTGTTTCTCACTCGCCTTGAGGGCTCGTAGCCAAAAACGCAGGCTGATAAGAGCAGACAGCGACTTCTCTGTCAAACTCAAGCATTGCTCATAGAACTTTCTTTAACCAGGATATGAAACAGCCAGGTCGCAGTGTGTTAGCATTGGCTGGCCATTTCTCTTAATAGTGCATTTTCATATAATCTCTCTATGGGATTGAGGGTCATTACCGCGTAACCATCCTATTATTAGTCATATCACACACAGGTTTCATACCCAGCCTTGCCCTCTGCACTCCATTTCTTCATATCTGTCTCCTTGAAATTGCATTTGTAACGTATGCACTTCTTTTTCCAATACTGTTATAGTGACAAACTGTTCAGGACTGTGAAGCCGGGGAGTCCTGCATGTGGTTAAGTTTATCAAGAGCTCTTAGCTTGAGATTGGTGAAAGATTGTATTTTCAGTTAAATCTGATAAACACATCGTGCCTCGTGAACTGCCAACTTCTTTCTGTATTAAACCAAGATGAAGATGATGATCTTTTACTAAACTTAACTTAGTGCTATTACTGCCTAAACATAGCTATTATAAAGGAAAAAAAAATACGATGGCAGGGAACATTTTACTGTTGTATTTTACAGATAATTAACATTTCCTGATTATGTTAACAGACAATGTAATCTGGACGGCATTGCATTTTCTTAAAAAATGTATTTTCAGTTGCAAAATGAGTTGCATACAGATAATTTCTAGCAGACAAAGTTGACCGATACAGTATTGGTTTGTCTTAGCTGATTTATGATAACACAGTAGATACTTAACTTCACTTGTCTCAGTGTTGTTGTGACCCCTGAAAGGATTGTGGGGATTATGCCATGTTGTTCAGTGCACATCCCCAGGGGAAGACCCCTCTCCACATACTAGCCTCACATGACCGTCAACCTCTGACCTTGCTACGCGGCCTGCAGGAGAGTGGAAGTCATATCACGCTTAGATAAGCATCTTGCCTTTAGACCCTCAACTCTGTGGGTCTAGCGTAACGAAGTCTGGTCGGTAGAAGTATGTTTTACCATCAGAGAGATGAAGAGAGCGAGTTTGTTTTTTCACATAAGAATCAAAACAAACCACTAATCCCTTTGGAAGCGAGGGAGGAAATTGGATTTTCACCCCACATAGCAGCTGAGCTTTTACATAAAGGGGAAAATTCAACACTGGCCTAAACTCAAATATAATCCAAACAATGACAGTGGTAAATCCAGCTTTCACTCTCAAGATAACCTGCAGTTTAGTCAAGGTGATATTCTGGTCCCTCCACCTTCAGTTAAACTATGTATCCAATGTCTCAAGTTACAACTTGTCTTTTCACAGGCAGTGGCCTTCTCCTCTGTCTCCCTCCTCCCTCCTGACTGCGTTTATCCTTCAGGCTCATGTCGCCTGACTCCACAACACTAATGGATATGGACGTCTGGCAGCACTACAGATTTGTAAGTGCTGATAACACTTGTGCTTTGGTAAAAAGATTACATTAGAAATAAAGACCACATGATTGGGTTAAAGTGAGGAATAACATATGATGAAGCTAATACACAATGAGCTGTGTCACAGTGCCTGGAATAACAGCTAATTCACATTCATCATAAACTACACTGGGTTCACTAAAGGATGTTTTTGTATTGGAGCTCTGGTTCCTTATATCTTGATCTTATATGAATCATCTCTCCATCCGACACACTTCTCTTTCAAATCACAAGCTGAATAAAGCTGCATTAAAGCGTCATCCTCAATGGAAGATGGTTTTTACAGCAGCGGGGCACTTGGTAGAAAAACATCCATACATATTGTGTCCACTTTTGCTTATCAAATAACATTTTCTGTTCTTTAAAAGCTGGGCAGACACTGCAATTTATTCACCTTGTATGTTTTAATCATGTGCACGGCCAACATGTACCACTTCTATGTTCACATTGAGCTCAATTGACCGGTCACGATGTGGGTGACTACGAGTAATGACAAATGTCATCAATTACTCATTACAAAATGAATACATCATTGACCAAACACAAAAGTAATTAGCTCCATTTCTCATAAGATCATTTTAATCACTCAGCCCAGCTCCATCATTAGACAACCTTCCACCCATATGTCTAATTTTCTGTACTGACCGTCTGTAGGAATATGAAAGGAGAAACCGTGGTTTAACATACAGCAAGTCTGCTGTTAGAAGTTCCATCTTCACAATGAAGCTGTTAAACTCAGCTGATTTTTGACTGTAGTCTTACCAGTGGCTAACATTAGCACGCTAGCCGCCTCCCAACACCTTTAGCCTTTGCACTAAGCTAACACGTACCCCAACCATTGTAGTGATGTAAAGTTAAAGAAAGAATACAGACCTGCAGATGAATGAGGACCATATGCTCTTTATGTTTTGCATCAAAGTTCAGCTTTACAAATATCACAGCACATTCTCAGTAAAAACTACAACATGCTGCTCTACAGTTTATGCATTTTGAAATTTTGACAGCAGTTATGTGAGAAATCAGATCCGGGAACTGCTCAAACTGTAAAACAGACGACCAACATTTCTGAAATGTATCTGCTTGTTCAACAGCTGGATAGTTGATCATTCAAGCAATTAATTTGGCGTCATGATCCTCCTAAAAATGAAGCCTGATTATAAAATCAAGTCGTGCGGTTAAGGTTTAATCAGTACAGTTTCTGCCAAGCTCAAGCTGCCAACTCTCATTGATATGCTCAGGATCATGACCTTAGAGCCTTTAAATAATATAAATCCTCCCATGTGACTGAAGTTTATGAATTAAAGCAAAGCATATAGATGCCAAAAACGGGGAGAAAAAGTCACAAAAATATATCTGTATCTGTTTTATCCATTAGAAGCTCCTTCAATTAGCCCCATGGGCTAAACTGAAAGCCCCAACAGGCCAAACGGGATCATGAAAGAAGCACAAAGGACCCACTTTAGCCTGACACTCACTCTGTCTTCACCACTGTGATAACAACTGCTTCAAACCGCTGCTCCAACAGACTGCATGGCTGATCAACACACTCCTTTCATTGTCATTTCACAGAAGCGTTGATTTGATCTGTGATGCATCAGGTCATTTGAATGAGCAGTGACTGCAGTTGTAAGGAATTTGTGTTTTGGAGTGTGATACCCACAGGGGGTGCAATGATATAAAAGAAATCCAGTGCTCAGTTCAGAGATATGACCTCCTACTAAACCCTCAACATCGAAAGAGTGTGGTCTTTGTATCTGTGGAAGGGATGAGTCCGTAAAGACAATGAGACGAGCTTTGGCCTGGCATTTGGGTCAATGGGCCAACAATGTCTATAGTGTCGCACTGTGATGATCTGATTATGTGGCTGACAATGTGGATGTCCAGTGCATCGTGCTGTCCGCACAGTGCTGGACAGCGAATATGTGCTCACAGACTCTATTCAGGCCATCGTGACCTTGGCCAATGTACTGTTTCATTCAGCTTTACTGGCTCTGCGCAGACGTTCATGATAAACTTGACCACTGTTTTGATAGGGTCATCCCACAGCCGTTTGCTAAATAGCTGAAAAATAAATAATAAATCAAATGTCTTGTTAAAAGAATAAATCAGTTTTTGAGGAATTTTACTTTTCCTCCTAAATCATGTAAAGCAATCCCATGAATGCCTTATTCTTAAGTCTGCGTTACACAAGTTTAGTGTCACAAATGTTGAACATATCAAACTTAATGGCCTATTATAAAAGGGCCCATATTGTAAAAGTGATGAGGATATCTAAGAGCCAGGCTAGCTGTTTCCCTCGGTGTTTGTGCTAAGCTAAACTAAGCAAACCAGCTGCTGGCTGTAGCATCATGTCGACATATTTGAAAGTGGTATCAATCTTCTCATCTCCCTGTTGGCAAGACAGCAAATGACCAAATGTCTCGAAATGTCAAAGTTGCAAGAGTCTGCATAACATGTTGTCACCTCCTTGTGTCCATGCAGAGATCCACATATAACCTTAAATTGTGGCGTACAAGCCGACTACACATGTGTAAACATGTCAACAGCACACAGACCCAATGTAGTATAACCGGGAGAAAGTGAAGGTCCGTTTTGGAATTTTCAAGGTCTTAATTTGGCACACTGTGGCTTAAAGTACACTTCACTATGAACATCTGTGAGCTAATTGACTTACCTTGACAAACTGTATCAGTGAAGGAGGTGCAGAGCTGTAACTCTTCCAAATCATCACAGGTAGCGCAGGGGATGCAGGGCTCCCGAGAACTCTCCTGGTCCGAGTAGGTGTCCCCGGTGCACTGCTCACACACCGTGTCATGGTCAGGCTCACAGCTGAGCAGCATACCCTCGCCTTCAGGACATTTGGTGCAGTGTTCACACCGCTGAGAGAGAGAGTTCATATAGTAGCCATAGTTGCAAACACAGGTGGCGTCGTTGGAATCTGTGCAAGGCGCCTTCATGCGAAGTAGGCCTGTGCATATTGTGCAGGTTTGACATTTCTCTGTGTGACTGAAGTTTTCTGAGAAAGTTTCACCTGAAAGGAGAGGGAAAGAAAAAAGCCATTTAACTTTTTATCTGCAAAAAGCCTGACTTTTGATTCTTCAGCCATTCCTTTAAAAGCATTTACAGTATATGCACAATCGTATTCCACCTCCATGCTTATTTCTTCTTTCCAAATGAGACTGTGGAATATTGTAACTTACCTTTAGGTTTTCCCTATTATTAAAAAAAATGGCCTGTGTTTATTGTGCTTTTATTGTGCCCAGATATAAAATCTTCATTTATTTATTTAATTGTATGTGTGTGCGTGTGTGTGTGTGTGTGTGTGTGTGTGTGTGTGTGTGTGTGTGTGTG